AGAGAGATACCACGACTGTTTAGTACATATTTGGTCAAAAGATCTGCTTCATTTGTCTCTTTGATGAGTTGTAGTGTGGTGCTAAGACTGCTAAGACTCACTGACGATTCCGACTATGATGCCAGCGAAACGTCTGGGAATGTACCACATCCACGGTCCGACTCTGGAAATTATCATGCATACAATGGACTTCGGATTACATGCGTTCCTCTAAGTCTTTCTAGTAACAAAGTCAAATAAATTATGAACGAATTAAAGTTTATTTATGTATATTTGCATATTTTCTAGAATTAAGTGTGCTTGGAACTCTGTTTTATGTATTATTTTAGCGTAATGTTTTAACGAAGCTTTATATGATTAATTGAAAAGTTAAATTCATCTAACGGTTATGGAAGATCTTGTTCAGAATATCCACTCTCTCCAGATTATTATAGGAGATTTAATCAGGCACAGGTTACTTAATACGCCAAAGAACCTACCGAAAGATTATCCTAATTTTTATTGCAGTTCAGAATAATGAAGGGATATTTTAGATTATGCATCGCTGTAGCCACAAAAGTAGTGATATTTTTTTCCGCTTGAGGCTTTTTTCCTATGCATATTTGATTTTGTTTTAAAGCTCTCAGCACCCTTTTTCATGCCTATGACATTACTACATGTATATCTAGTTAGGAACTGGGGTTACATGTACTTAATAGCGAGTGAAACTAAAAATATGTAGATGATATTTACAGACAAATTAAGGTGAAAATAGATCCTTTAGAAATATATTTGAAATTATGTTTTAGTAAATCAGAACAATATTCACTATAAATATGTGCTCGACTTCACACTACCATATAAAATACTATTGTATAGAGGAACAAGAAAATTAATCACGGAGTGCCTTGCAGATAATAAGGAAAGTTACAGGCGAGGATATGGATGTGGGAAAAATACTCCGACGATGCTGGAATGTGCTGTTGGTGCAAGGGGGTACTGTTCGGTCCCAGAGAGTAACGACGACATAAGGGGAGCTATGGGGAAATAATGTCAGTCGAGGTATTTTCTGACTTAAAATACTTTTGTGTACTTTAAGTGCCACATTCTTATTATTTCGAAGAAGAGGCTTGATTCGGTGACTAGATTTGCATATAGCCCCGTTGTACACAGAGCAAGGGAGTCATACTTCGCTTGATCTTGCATGAGTCGAAAGATAACTGTGAGATGTAGCCAAACTGATTGTGGAGTAAAGTCACAACAATGTGAAAGGTTGATAGATCAGTAAGCGGAAATTCTTAGACAGAATAAGTACCCTCAAGTGCAGATTAAGCTCGATTAAAAAAACTGTTTGAGCTTGGTGTCAAGCTCTCTGGGAAATCGAGGTGAAATTGATGATCACTGGGATTGAAAATTAGTAATATTTTATCATTTAAAATTTTCTACGTTAAAAACTCATATATTATGATGAGTTACTGTAGGCAAGGTCAGCGTTTTTGATAACTACGTTTAATATAGACTTTAGGAGCAAGAATTCAATTCACTTAATGGAATCATGCCGCGTCCTAGTTACTGCCTATTAACAAAGCGAGTTAGAATCCATCACCAAGCCAGATAACTTTTACCTTTTTATATTCGTGACTGAATAATTAAGGAAGCATCCTTTTTTGTCATCATAATAAACCAAGTATTATGCTTATATTCTTGTGCATACGCCAATAAAATATGTGAACTCCTCCCTCCTTATTCAAATCGTGAAAGCAATATTATATTCATTTTTTATATATAAAAACTTATTTTCCAAATATTTTCCCAATAAAAATAAACATATCCAGCCCATTTTCCACATTAGGCAAGGTATGTGTATGTTTCCAGGACTATCAAATTTTAACATGTGAATAACTCTAAAAATGTAATAACGCATATTTAGGAATAAGTTTTATTTGCATGAAACGATTCAGTATGCATATGCAAAGCTTCAGATTTTAAACCGGTCTTAATACACGCTTATAATAGTTTCAAATATATGAGGAACAAGGTAAAATGTTTTTATCTTTGAAAACTATATGAATCTTTCACCATGCTTATTAGATGAATGGATTTAGGCCAAGTTGCTTATTTTAATGGTCTAAATCTACTTAAGTTTACTTGATGACCATCAAGGACCGAAACATCTAGCGTATAGGTACATTTTAAATATTTCTTAGAGTAGAAACGCGGTGCTAAGCGAGGATACACTTAATTATCTAGTCTTATAACTTTCAAGGGCAAAATCAAAGATAGATAAGAGCTCTCGCTAATAATATCTTTAAATAGAAAGTGATCTGTAAGGCTTAAGCGAGGTGGATTTTTAGATAGAGTAATTTGGTGGTTTCAATTTAAGCCTAGGAATATTGCATCTAAGCGAAATTAGGAATGCGGTGATATATATTTAGACTATGACAGCTAAAGTATGTAGAATACAAACTATAAAAAATTGTGGCCAAGTTGCTAGATGAAGTAATTTGCATGGCTTAACACTATCATCATATGTTCTGGGCAGTAGAGTATTTTCTTTAGTATATTTAAGAAGTTTTTTTTATTAAATTGCCTGATATTGAAAGGTTATGCGTAAGTAGCACAACCATAGAGGTGCTATAATGAAAAGAAAACTCAAAGTAAAATTCTGATGTCATTTGAGAATACATCAGTCGTATGAAGCAACTGGTTTTACTGACCTCAAAATTAAAGTTTAATATTGGAGTAGAATCTTAATTGTTCAGTAGCCGCCTAATGTCATATAAAAATTAATATAATGAATGAATAAGGATTTAATAAATTAAGGTGTCAGTTACTAAAATTCATCTTTAATATCGCCTTGCTGGCTTGGGGCGAGTTGCGCCCTTTTCGTTTCCCCACAATGTTTGATAGTATTGAGTCCGGTGTTTCTCTACAAAATGACTTCTCGTATAACAATAATGTTGCAAAAGCCAACATTTACATCAGGATGGGTACATTTTAACCTTGTCTTAATCTCGCACAGGATTTATCCGTAAGGTATATGGCCTCCTTTCAGCACAATTGATAATTACTCTTGTTATCGCCTCGATAATCGCTAATTTTTCTGAACAAGTTAGCAAACTAGTTGCAGAAAGGTAGTAACTGGTTATTTTTACACTTAGACCGTTTGTTCTGACCCTTGTTATCGCTGGAAATTTTATTTCTTTGTTTATGCTGCTATGGAAAAAGCGACAAGTTCCGATCAATTTATTTCTACTTTTTACATTCGTAGGTTCTTTTTACTTTTAATTTTTTGTGCAGACGATCTTTGAGTCTACTCTCATTGGCCTAGCTGGTAGGCGTTAAAATTCTATGCTTTCTAAAATTTTCAGTCGCTCATTATTCGGTGAATATAGTGCTTCAAGCACTTGCTCTTACGATTGTCACGTTCATTAGCTTAACCGTATACACATTTCAAACCAAAAAAGATTTCTCCTCCTGGGGAGCCGGCCTTTTCGTATTCCTGTTTCTGCTTCTTTCGGCAGGCCTACTTAACGTAATTAATTTCATACCTTCCTTGATTATGTCGAATATACTTATTAAACCTTAAAATACTTTATTTTATTTTATTTTAGTTTTTTTTGGGGTCTCCACTCTTGGATTTTGCCATTTCAGTCTCTGGCTGTGTAGTGTTCAGCCTCTTCATAATATACGACACGAATGCTATAATGCATCGCACCTCTCCTGAAGAGTACATCATTGCATGCGTTGAATTGTATACTGATATAATCAATCTATTTATTCATTTGCTACGTTTTCTTGATGCTATTCGTGATAAATGACTGTTTTATTTCCTTTTTATGGGGCAGTTCACTATTCAGTCAAACTTTTCCTTTATGTGATAGTCTCCTTTTAAACAAGATTGTTGTCAATATTAATTATTTCGACCTATAAATTGTGATCCATTACTAACTTTTTCCTAACTTCATTACTCATTATATACTTAAAATTGAAGGTCACTTATCTAATAAGCTAGAGATCGTTGGGCCACTTACAATTTTGTTTATCATGAATTAGTTTTCTGGCATTATATGAGGATATTATGCTTATCAATGCATTAACGTCACTATATTTAATGGGTATTATGTCGATTCTTGTTGAGCCTGGTACGAGTGTCGAAGTCATACC